TTGTCTTCCTTGAGAAACCTGCATTTTGCACTGCTGTTACGCCATTGTGCCATAACATATTCACTTTACGGAATATATATTTATACTCAAAATTCATTATATTTATGCACATCATGTGGGTCTATACATAAGCATAATTTCAAGCAAAGAAAAACTGGAAGAAATTATCACCACCAGATTTTTACTAAAGAAAATATTAGAGCAAATACTTCTAGTTGAAGGGAAGTCATTGCAGATGAAAGAAGGGAGGTGAAGAAAGTACTGAAGAGCTAAGGAAAAGGGAAATAGGTAAATAAATATGAATGTATAGTGACTGTATAAATATATATTACAAATATACCATATAATGAATTAACATGTACAACAAAAACAATGTAAAAAGCAGAAGGCAGTAAAAGGAGTTAAATTACCACATTTTTAATAAGTTGCAATGTACTAATTTATATACTGTTTTAATAAGTCAAGGTGGTAGGTTGACATCTTATAGGTAGCAACAACTGCACTGTAAAAACAGTGTATAATTAACAAGCTAATGAAGGGGAAAATAATATAATAATAACAATAAAATTACAGAATTTCAAAAGAAGTTATAGGAGAAAAGGAGGGAAAAAGGGAAGGGCAAGGACCAAAGAACAGCTGAGGCAAAGAGAAAACAGCGGATAGTAGCTTGGTCCCTTTCTGAAAATTCCTCCCCACTCATCCTAAGGTATTCAGTAAATGTATTAACAGCTGCAGAGATCCAAACTGTAAAGTACACAGTCACTTTAACCTCTTCGTTGAATTTGAGCAAACATATTACACATCCAGGTTAAATTCAAGAGACATGTTAGTTGGGATCATCATTTTTCCAAGCAAATGGAACTTCAAGGATCAGGATAGAAGGCAAAATGACTATAAATTTAATCTCACGCAATCTACAATTTTGTTTTTCAGATCTAATAGGTTTCAAATGTTGTTTATGACAGAATCGAGATCTTTGGGGATTTTACTGTCGTGATGGCGTATCCATCCACGAAGAGGTTCAGCCACTGCTTTAACAGCACTTGGTCACCAAAGAAGGGCTACTTCACAAGGAACGTCAATTTTAGTAAAAACGTTCAGACCAATCAGTTAAGCCAACTTCATCATATTCATTTCAACAGTGACAAACAGACGAAATAAAACTGGCCCTAAGAGACAGCTTAAATCACAGAAGGATCAATTTTAACCTCCTACTCTATTAAGGAAATCTTCCGCAAAACCAATGTCATTAGCAAAAAAAGAAATACAGAACTAAAGAATTTAATTAGCAGAGCTGTGATAGTAAAAGCCTTTCACTCACATTGACCCACAATATATTTGGTAATAAAATGTTAAACTTCAAACGTGTGTATTTGTACTTACACACACGTGCATGCACAATATTAAATTTTATCTTAATAATATGCTGGGGCAGAAAAAGGTCTAGATTTTAAATCTCACATTGTCTGGCACAAGATTCTTTTTAAATAGACCATCCTGTCTGTCCCAACTGCAACACAATGATTTCAAATCTTAGGGGTGCTGCCATGATTCCCTCTGCTAGATTGAACATATGGTTAAGCCCAGTTCATCTCTCAACAGCCTCTAGAATCCATTTTCAACTCTCTTCCCCATCAAAGTATGACTAGGTTCCATGCGCTAAACAGGCAAGACACAAGCAGTCATAATATCCATCTACCAGCCGTAAGACCAAATTGATTGACAGCTGTCTTAATACTCATCACCTTGGCCACTCACATGACAAATAGCACTGGACTACCATGTGCCAATCATTGTTTTGGACTCTGAAAAGTGCTAAGGATTCCACCGTCCTCATAAACCTGAGATGCTTATGGCCTAGAGGGGTAAACATTCAGTCATTTCTTCCTTTAACAAGCATTTATTGGCCATTAAACACCAATCAGACATTTTGGTCCTTGCTGAGAATCCTATGGCGGCATTTTGTCTTGCTGTTATGATGCCTGGGGTCAGGTAGGAAATTAAACACAAAATGGTCGTGAAAATAAATATATATTCATATTATACATCATGAAGAGTGTACTGTGCAATAGGAGATAACAGGGAATGTTATCTTGAGAGTCTGGGAAAGATCTCACAAGAAAGCAACATTGGAATTGAGATCTCAAGGTTCGTTGGTTGAAAAGAATCTTCCCAGCAAAGAGAAAAAACAAGTAAAGACCCATGTTTCCAGAGGAAAGATGGTCAGAAAACTCAAAGAAGGGCACTGTGGCAAGAGCAAGAGAGCAGAGCTGAAGGTGATGCTGCAGAGAAATGCGATGAAGACGTGATGTGAGGCTTCCCAGAATACATCAGAAATTTTGCTGGCTATCCACTCTGAAAAGCAGTGAGAATTCCCCAAAGGTTGTGAAACAGGAGAACAGCATGATGCTACTTGAAACAGAGGACATCTCCCAAGTAGCTGTAGAAACAGTGGGTTGAAGGTTTGCAAGAGTCTAGTAGTTTATTTGAGAGAATGCCGTTTTAAAATTGACAGCAATTTACAATGCTAAGTCAGTTTCCAGTGCACAGCCTAATAGTTCAATCATCCATCTACATTCATAGATTTGTTTTCATATTCTTTTTCATTATGGGTTACTACAAGATACTGACTGTAGTTCTCTGTGCTATATATAATAGAACCTTGTTGTTTATAAACTGACTCTACTTCAATTAAAAAAATAATCCAGGTGCCCTTTTTGGCAGAAATTGGCAAGCTGACCCTGGATTAATATGGAAATGCAAGTGACCCAGAGGAGCCCAAGCCCTCTAGAAAAAGAACAAAGTTGGAAAACTCACATTTCCTGTTGGAAACAATCCAATTATCAATAGCGGAATGGCTAAACAAAATGTAGTCGATCCATGAAATAGAGTATTATTCAGCCA